TATATATATAGTAGTAGTCAACATGCGGTAGTTGCACGAGTCGACCAGCAATCTGTTCTGTCGATAGAGCGGTAGAGAACTATTTAGGTTAATATATTAATACAGTTGTATGTTGAAGAACTTAACTTGGGTACTTGCATATCTATTGCAACATACAGCTCCCCTTACTTTGCCCCTCCGGACGTGGACGCTTGGTCAGTCAATAGCACAGGTCCTCGATAACAGGGTTGCTTGACCACTACTTCGATGTGCATGGTCGAGCGGATCCCCACTGTCTCGGTGGGGTTATCCAAGCGAGCTAGTTTCGCAAGAACTATAAAACCTGGGGATGCACCGCGCGAACATAATTCACATTATCATCACAATCGCAAAAGTCCTTTATGTTCTTAAGAAATTCCTCTGGTGTAATAACACTGGCAGCCCGATCTACTTTGTAAGAGTACTTTCCTCAAGGATTACGTACAGGTTCATCGCACTATTTCACGCTTCTATTGTAGTAAGCTACTGGTCAAATCCATTGCGTCAGCATCGGCATGCCTTGGTAATAACTGACCCGAACCAGCCGCTTGCTGGTTCCAATAAAAGTTCTGAACAATCAAAATTACTCGTCACCTTACTAAAGTATTCGCGCTGTCGAACTAAACACCAGACCTATTTCCTCTATATATAACGTGCATATAACGAATATAACGTGCATTATAACTGGTGCTCTTTTTATACCTATAGAATCTGCTTTCTGTAATGAAGTCGCTGTCTTTCCTAAACTTTTTTCATTAGGCGTGCTAAAGGCCCAGGCTGACCGAGTTACTTTGCGAGATCGGTGAGCTTATTTACGAATGTCCGTAATGTTTAAGCATATCGTCTAAAGTTCATTGTTTCTTCATTAATGTATTGATCTCCATACACCAATAGATCGATGTACTTGGTATACGCTAAAAAAATATCTAAAGGCTCTTAGAGATAAAGCAGAAAGGTTGCGCCATTCAGTCTAAAGAAAAACAGCGTTGTTATAGAACTAGCATTTACCGGCAGGCACAAAGCTACACGGACAATCGCCATCGCGTAAAAGGACCAATGCGGTTATCATATCAAAATATGATAAGGAAACTTGAATCTGTTGTCAGTTACACACATCTACTCTGCTCTACTCCTTCGTGCCAGAGACACTGTATTGTTCCGTCACGTTTGCAATTTCAAATGGCCGACTATTACGTCCATGTCTATATTCTCGTATTAATGAACTTGGCAGTCCTAAATGGGAAAGTACTCATTTGATTAGATAATCGTGTGAATTTTTACCAACTACCACAAAATGTGTGGGTGTGCGTTCATAGGCTATTCCTCGTCATTGAGGTAGAATTATCGGGCCGAACGATTAACAGGCACAAAATCATTTTCGCTAATCATACGTACGGCCTGTTATCGGCCTTGTAACCCGGATCAACGCCTGATGCTGTCAGACTCACAAATCGCTGTCAAAAGCTCTTAGAATTAGCATGTTTCTTCCAAATCCCACTCAGATAAATGCGTTTCAAGCAAAAAGCACTCTCATACTGTCCGAAACGTCTTTCAAAACAACGCATCTCCCCTTATTATGTCCCCTTTAGAACATATTCGCAATGTCGTAACATCGATTGAATCGACATTGCTATGAGGGAACAGTTGAAGATTATTTGAATATGACTGATTTCTACCATTAGCAAAAACAGGGATATGCTTTTAGTGTTACCGCGTTATATGATTTGTCTTTTCAAAGCTAAGCGTTACGTTGATTCAAGGTAAACGGTATCTTGGCTTGACGATCGGTTAGATACGGGCCGCCATACAAAGCTCGAACTAACGTTAGTGGCTAGCTTTCGGGTCAGAAGCCAAGCTTTCCGAATCAGTGCACGAGCTGGCTAGATTAGATGGGTACAGCCCTTGTGTCGGAAATACACTATCTAGTACATAACAATAATGTCCAATATATGTTTACTGCAAGCCCGTTTTCTAATTACGATGATGCGTATGGCGCCGAAAGAGGCTTCCGGTGCTACTCGTCGATTTTTAATCAAACTCGATTTGTACTGTTCAGCGAAAGGCAATCGCTAACGTTCTGCAAGTGCATACCTTGCACGTGCCACGTCGACTCACCCCATGCACGAATGCAGTTGGGAAGGACAACTATAGGCAGTTCAACGTAGGAAAACCTCAACACTTATTCGCAGTAGACCGCGACAAGTACCGCCCGTACTTCTCCGCGTCCTACTTATTTATGAAAATTGCTATGAGCGGAGAGCGTAACTCGAACGGGATTGGTTGCTGGGAACGACGAGCGTTACGCTAAGTGAGAATTATGCGATTTTTCATATCGAGATAAAAGAAACTAATTGAATTTTGTTATGACGAAGGCACATAATCAATACAAGCCCGGAAGTTACGTTGAGTCACAATATACTTTTGCCGCGAGATAGCGTAACCGATATTCCGTCTATCAACAGTTAGCTCAGGAGTTAGTTTCGTAAAATTGCGCCCTAGCAATGCTAACTAAAAGCGAGCCGAAGCTGAGAATGGTATTTGTGTTGACCACAAAGAACTGTATATATTCTAAGCTATGATAAACTTGTGAACTTTAGAAAGTTATTAATATAACAATCTGCTGATAACGTATTTTGCCTAACTATAAGAAAGCTCAAGTGATCCCTTCAAATCAACTAGAAAAAAAAAGTGACTATTTTGTGAACATAATTATACAGTAAGTATTTCTTAATGGGTCGTACATCATTTCTAGTGCCCTTAGACGATAGCCGGTTCGGTACTGCATATTGTGATATATATCAAGAAAAAGCTGTTTGAATAAGACTGAATAAAAGTGTTATTTATTGGCGATAACAGCGTGACAAGATTTATCGCCTGCGATTTCTTTAGGTAAAATTGTATTATCCAAGCCATCGTTATAACCAGTTGTTTACTATTGGCACCTATTGTTTCATCTCGCTCCCTATCCCGATCGTGCCAATCGGCAATATGGCTGGTCTGATTCATCTTGCACTACCGAAGAGGGGGAAGAACAAGTAATCGTATTAAACCAGGTAGAACTTCGATAACGCTAGTGGGCACGAGGGGGCGAACTCAAATTATCCTACCTATAAAAAAAAACTATACCCTACGTGAAGCTTTCAAAAGGCGTGAACAATAAAACGAAATTACTTTGTTTTTTTTTTCTTATAGCAAAACGGTGTTTGTAGGTAGTTAGATAATCAACCGCCGATCGGTAATATCAGTGGGAACATTAGCGTTTTTATCTGGAATTTATATGAGGAACTAATTGGTGCTGGAATGTTTCATCTAGGGCCTATATCCTGGCACAAAACGATAGCAATGCAGGTTGAAAACAGGTTAATTATTAAGCTTGGTGTCTTCTTTCCAGAAAGCACATACTGTTAAGCAGCGGAGCCGAATCTTCCATTTATATAAGTAACCTCCCCATACAGATTTGAAGTACAGAACCTCTATCGCGTAGAAAGCAGAACTGGCGTTGCTAATTTTATCGAGCTCCAAATAGAAGGCGCAGTGATCGAAATTAGGCCCCTCTGACCTACGGTCGATAGAGAATGGATAGGACTACTAAAACGAAGTGATCGGTAGCCAATGCGTGTGAGGAATACAACAGGCAGTGCAAACAACCCCGTTTCTCACCGACCACCGTTAGTCAAGCGTGACTGCGCTGCTGGTTTTACTGCTATATCGGAAAACCCCTCCAGTAGATAACTGAACACGGTAGCATTTACTATACTGTTTCTATATAAATTGCCTCTCCTCAGGACGCCAGTTCCTTTCTTGCGCACAGAACTTACATACTTATCTTTAAATACTTAGAAGTTCATATCGAATAATTTTCAACATTTTAGTTGATACTAGATTCAACTCTTTGAAATGGGTGTCCAAATTTCAATCAACAGAATCCCCTAAGCGTTTTAAGATTCATGCCGCTTTTACCTTGAAGGTAAAGCAGACAAACTATACCAGAAAAATACACATCTACCTTTGCATTGTGTACAGTATCCGTATAGAAGCAAGTAAATAAAAACTATTCAATATAATATTAGATTATTATTTATTTATCTGTATTGGAAGGATAGTTTTATGTAAGAAGTCAGCTCTACTTAGAAACTGAAACACTTACCTATTTATCGTTGTGGAGAAAATTCAAAACAAATATGTTCCATAATCGTACAACTTTTCAAAGCTTGCTGTTCCACTGTTTTTTTCTTCTGCTTTCAGTGCAAAGGTTTTTTGAAATAACAGGATGACCAACCTAGTGAATTTGGAGACTAACCAAGATAGCTATTGAATCTGCGATGTAGCTAAGTACGTATCGGTACGTTTTCAAGAAACCCTTGGTTCTAAACGCTCTTACTTTGTAAGGTTTAAAGTTAAAATAAGCCATAAGCGAGATCTGCAAAAGCTTACAATGCTGCAAAAGGGTCTGTCCTCATTTCATCCACTCTTCCAATGGCTGGCCTTGTCTAATCCTTCCCTGAACAAGGGCGTCTTTCAGCCAATCATTTCTCCACTCCCACAAAGCTTGCGTACCCTCCATTCAATTTCAAAAGCAATCCAACAAGAGAAAATCGCCGATGTTGCAGGTAGATCTCTGAGCAAAATGTCGCTCCAACCTAGGACAATTAGCAATATACTCAAGCTATCTCTAGTAAGTGCTATATATAAATATGCGCTTTTGGTACCGTTTAGTTGCTTCGAAAACAACAAGTCCTAATTTATGCTGCCTGTGAAGAACTGTTGTAAGACCAGTTCAACGTATCACTAGTTTAATAGGGGCAGATATCGAACAGGCATAGGTATGCAGGGTAAATAAATTTTCTAATTTCTTACCAAATTGGGTCGCTGCCAATGCTGAAAACTAAGTTGACTCTTGTTTTCAGGCGGGTCTCTTAATGGAAGGGCATGCTCGAGGAGCAAATAGGTGTGGCTTGTACGAGGACTTCTAACAAATGATTACCTCTTTCTTTTAATTGCTGACGGTCAACGTATTTATTATTATATGATTTCGCTCTACAAAAAGTGAAATTGAAGCATAACAAAACATTATTAAATCATTATTTAAAGGCACAGCTTTCTTTACTATGTTCACCGTTCATTTACTGTATAAAATAAAAAAATAAGCTATTCTTTAACAACACAAATAATAAACACAGATATATGCGTATAAAAATAAATGCTAATTGAGTCAGATACACCAACATTCATTTTTTTCATAACTATTTTTAAATCTATTGAGAAGCTTGATATCAAATGTTATAGCTGTTTAATTAAATAATAAAATAAATTGTTTATTTTAAGGCAGGACTGATCGGTCTATGAGCGAAATCTCAGAAGAATCAATTCGGTCAGATCAACAGAGATGCATGGAAATGCTGAATGATTCAATCGCAAGAAAGGAGACAAGTACTATATCATTATCATATACAAATATGAGAATGTATTTAAACCTCACACAAAGGTGCCTAATTTCTCTAAGAGTTTGATAGGTTTGCTCAAGCGTACACATTGTAAATACAATGCAACATCACAACTTACTTAGTAGACTAACGCGACTTAAAGCAATAAACTTACACAAGACTCGGAAGTCTTTTAGAAGACTAACTATTGTACTTTATTTATCGATGATAAGGTTGCCCTACATAACGACCTTTTCGGCCGGAGCGATTTCTTTCTCTCCCTTTCTATCTTTTTTTCTCTCTCCCTTTTCTTTACTTTGTGGACCTGACGAATACTGACGCTTTGTAATCATAAAACGCGTATGTATCAGGTGTGCGCACTTACTTAGCCATATGCATCTGGGCGCCTGAAAGCGATCGCTATTTATATTTCTTGCCGCTGTTCATTGCACTCTTTTTTACAGCACCTCGAAACTCTGCGTTAAGTGGTGACGACGTAATGTAATGAAGTCTATTCGCCTGTTCTGTTAATCCTCGTATCTTCCCCAACATTTCTCTCCCCTTGCGGGTCCTAAACTCCATTGCCTCTTTGTTCTCGCGCCTGCTACCCAACTCATTCTAACCATGCGGGTCCTAAACTCCATTGCCTCTTTGTTCTCGCGCCTGCTACCCAACTCATTCTAACCATGCGGCCTAACTGTCTTCCGCCAACACGACGACAAGCCTCTATATTCCGCTCTGCCCATTTAACCCCACGAAATTCGTTCCAGCGGCCACCTACCAGTAATACAGCTGGCTCAGCACTTGTAAGACAAGGGCACGCACCGAAGTTTACGGCATTCACATATCATCCTTGTCGCCGCTGTGCCGTAGCTTGTTGCTGAGGGAACGACTGTCTATGTGACGAAGCAATAGGGACAAGGGGACGGACTCAGCAACCACTGGAGGAGCTAGAAGCTGAGCCCGGTCAGATAGGGATAAATAAAGGTAGATGCCCGGAACGTTGCAAAACACGAAGCCCGATCTGATCAAGCTCGCGGGGCCGCTGTTACCTATCTGCGACGCAGATATACTAACATTGTCGTTATCTCTACTTTCAACCGTTCCCTGTCGATTTCTCTATTCTCCTCGCTCTCACAAAACTTGACTGCCCTTATAGAACGGGGTGCAGTATTGAGTGCAAATGGAGTAACTCGCTTCGCACTGATAGTAGAGTAGCCAACTGTGTCCCTACCTACCGAAATCCCTGGACTGTTTCTCACTGCTGTTCCTCGTTGCGCTCGTACTGCTGCCGCTGTACGGCAGTGTACCTTAGCCTGCGGTAGTACGATGTCATTTGTTTTGGGAAAAAACCCATTTGCTCATCACTCGCCTCTATGATGGCTGCCTATCCTCCCCTACAATCGTGAGGAAGACTGCCGGAAGATACATCTAAAGTGGTCGCCCTTCCATCGCTAGATTGTGCTTGTTTTATTTAAATCTGAATTAGTAAGTTTTTCATTTCCTGCTAAAAACCAGCGAGCCAAAATGACGAAGCTTATTTAGGACAAGTAACAACGATGTCGAACTGCCTAAATCTAGCAAGCATTTGCCTGCCGGCTCTCGAGCAAACGTCTACGAAAAAAACAAACATTTTCTTTGTTTGCGGCTAGTCAATATGGAAAACTGACCGAGACGGTGAGCGAGTAGCTACTATCTTGGCCTGTGGTGCTGTCCAAAAAAGCCGAGTGATAAAAAAATTTAACACTCGATTCAGACATGAAACAAAGTGCAAGAAACGAAACTTTTGGCCTTCAAGGTCCTATTTAAACAGATTTTCATTTTACACACGTTCGGCAGGCAATCTTCATCTAGAGTGTTGAATTGATGCAACTTCTATTTTTACGATATGTGAAAACTCTTTAAACTGGATTATATTCTTTTGCCACCACATGAGCGACACACACAGCGTTTGTGAAGGCAAAGCTTTCGGGATTTTCGGCGAAGGCTAAGATTGTCTTGCCTTCATCTATCTATGTATGTCGGAAATTCCGCCGGGGAAAGACTCGGTAAATTTTGGGGTAGCCTACCTAACCTTAGTTTTAAAAGAAAAGTTACTGCAAGGAGATAAAGCGTACGCAGTTTACCTTTCTATAAATTCATTCTGTTTTAGAACTTATCCGTTGTGCATATAAATTACACTTGTTCTTATGGTTCGCCTTTTAAAAACAATACTACATATTAACGAATGTAGCGAAGCGAGCAAATTTGTTTAACTTAGATTCAGAAGCGACTCGTAAACTATTATGATTATTATCGTTGAGAGAGAATTTCATCTCACTTGGGGTTTACGCAGTGCTCTATCTTCATCAGCGTAACTCTGCCCAATGGAAAGCGTGCTATGCTTACGTTCTATGGCGCGCCATTTTACCTGATAAAAATCTCATCTGGTGATTTTAGTCATTCTATGGATTTTTATTTTCTTCTATTCCTTCCACTGTGTTTTCTACGATATCTTAAATCAGTGAATATATTTAGCAGCCAACCGTGACGTTTAAGCTACTTTCCGACTGGGATAGTTTAGGCACACAGACGAATTGTTGCTGCCCCCTAGTAGCATTCAGCTGACACACACCTCCAATGAGTGCGTCTCGCAATGTCCGCCAGGTCGTCTTTGCAAAGCTACTGGACAAAACAACAGAAAATGTGGCAGTCTCTCTTATAGGCTCTTTGTTAACCGTTAAAAACTTCAGCAAACGGAGATACAATGACTTTGTAGGGTTCTATGTACAACTGACCAAAGTACAGCTGATCTTTTCAAGGTCCGAAGAGCTTCGTCAGCTCGTTCCTGTATTGGAGGTCAACAAAGAGTAATGGGATCGTTTTGCCTATACGAGATAAACTATTATTCCAATACATAAATAACAATACAAACGAATCTCAGTTATTGGTGCGAGATCGACTGTAAAGTCCTCTTACCTAAAACATCATGCCGTGCAAGAATATAGCGGATGAGTCAAAACGTGTAAGGAAAAACAAGACGAAGCCCGTCCGTCGCTTTCGCACTACCGGATACTATCAAGCAGCAATACTACAATATGGCGTCAAACCTCCATCTGCGGCGAAAAGTTAACCAGAGGCAAAAAAAAAGTACAACCTGTCTAATTGGTTCGAGTACAAGGATAAAAAATTGAATATATAAAGATTATACTGCAACGCTACCAAGGTGATATCTTAGTACGGTACGACCTGAAGCTGATCCGAAGCAGGAGCTCTAGTGGAAATGAGTTTGATGAGGGTATGATGCACGCGTTTATGCGGTGTCCATAAATTTAATCTGACAGACTTTTGGAAAAAGAGTGCTCCATTTCGATGTTTCATTACACTTTAGTAATGTTTAACTGCGACAACTGTTTACGTTTTTGAGTTATTTTTATTTGATTGCATCTACGTAAATGAGTCAATAAAGATGCTGGCTCAATAACACATCTGGTTTATAATGAGGAATAGAACAGGCGCGCAATTGATACACTTAATCTAATAAAGACCTGTTGTTACAAACTGTTTTTACCGAAAATGTGAAAAGCCAAGTACTAAAAGCTGATATATGCTCACATGTTTTTCATTAACATACTTCTTTCACTAGTTTTAAAAGGGTCTAATTTAGATTAGTTTTAGATTATTAATTCATCGTAAATAGGAGGCCGTTACGTTGTGGTTGAATTAGGAAAAAAAAAAACAGTCTTAGCAATACATGCGTATTGTGCGCTAACAAAGCCTATCTAAGGTTAGGAAGTCAGTTATGATTGCCGTTATGTGGCTTCGATAAATAGAAAATTCTGATAGAGGGAAATTCTAACACATGATTTAACAAGCGAAATCATATCACGTGCACTTTTGGCCTGGACGAAATAAGGAAGATAGATGTTTTGTGATGGCTGTCACTGATTTGGAAAGGGCTAACAGGAAGAACGTGGGAGATGGAGACCTTGCTTTGCATCTTCGAGATTTTGCAAGTCTTCGTGAATGCGGTAAACCCGCGAAGCTTGTGGTCATTTAGCATCAGCTTTGGAATGGAAGGGCCCGCGTATTGCATGAACAGCTGTGAGATCAATGGTGCTTGCTTACTAATCGTATTAGCGCGTGGTAGTAGGGCACACACTGGTCAGCAGTGGCGATAAGGAGAAGAATCTATACAAAGGGCCGCTTGTTGTTACCTGCAACGAGAACACGCCGCAACAGCAACAGCAACAAGTCCCCATCTTCGAATAGAGATCGTTGTCGCCGAGTCTAAGTTGCTGGTCCCCGTCGTCGTTCGTTGTCTTAACAGCACTCAGAGACGGATACTCATACACACGTACCAGCTTTTTGCGGCTATCGCTTCTGCAGCAGCAAATTTGTACGAAGCTGTACGGAAAGACAAAACGACGCAAAAGCTACCGAACGTCCTCTGGAGCGCGATGCACTGAAAGAAGATAACCCCTTTTGTGAAAGGCCTGCTCCGAATCCTTGCTTTGCTCCGCTCCATTTAGATGACGCCTTAACGACTGTCGCTGGCGGCCAATGAACATGTCTGAATAGGAAGGTCACTGGGCTATGATATGAATTTATTGTGATCTGTTCTATCGAGTAATTTTTCATACCAAAACACACAGGTTTTTGGCTATGCTCGGCCTCGTAAAAGAACGCTATCGCTTTATGTCGCTCCGTTCACTTAGCATGCATCGATATTGCAACAAGGCAAATCGTGACGGAAGTAAAAAGGGCCGGTGTTTAGCGGTGGCACGACGCCGGGTCGGATAACATATGATGAAAATACTGCCCGTATGTGCTCGACAACGTCAGCGACATATTAAAACTTAGTTCTTATTATTTTCTTTTTTATTTTCGAAAAATAAAACATTTCGTAAACAGTAAAACGGGTCGGGTTTTAACACTCCCTTTAGTTTTAAACAATTTTTTTTCTATACGTAACGTTGCTATTCAGGATGTTTTGAAAAGTTGCGTATCAAGTTCGAGCAAATACTTCGCTTGACGACAGCTCATTAGCTACAAGATAAAGTACTCCACCAGCCTGTATTTGCGCGTTTTCCAGATAATATAACACAAAGAATCATATATTTATACACACCATTTGGATTTTGGCCGCATGACAAGGCTTGACAGCAGTTTCTGGTATTAAAAGAACCGTCTGCGTTTCAAGTGCCTCTGTGTGCTAAGTCGAAAAGCTAGATCTCGGATCCGTTCTGTAGCAACATAATGAAAATCCAGTGAGTAAGCTGAATTAGTTCACTGAATGGGTTCATACTGAATAACGCTTTTAAAAAGTCTGAAAATATAATAACGTCTCAGACAGCGATTTAGTTACGTATGGATATATGTCGTATCACCACCTCGTCGCACCTTCTGCTACAGTCAATGTATGTACGAATGTACAACTGTTGACATAATGCAGCTCTAAGGAGCTAGCGAAAGCTAGAGAAGGCCCACTCAGTCTGTAACGCCTCGGAAAAGTTGTGTAAGTTATTCAGTAATCAAATATCTATAATGGGTCGTTTACTTAATAGTTATTATCATAGACAACAGACTCAAGTACGTAGTGTCACTGAGACTAAGCTAGGCAAGATGCATGTGATAAAAATTTCATGGATCGAATCCATGATCTCGTAAATGTCTCACTTAGAAGCCGGCATTGTGAATGAACTTAAGCGAAATTATACTCGGCAATATACTTCTGTCAGAAAGTTTTGTCATTTTAGGCATACGTTGACAGAAATGCAGCGGTCTTTCATGCTGTGTTAAAGGTCACACTCGCGTTCGTATAGTTCTCGGGGCGGGTCCGCCTGTCAAGGAAAGCGCTCGTATGCCAACATTGGACTACTGCGGTAGCAAACCTGATGAGAACTAAAGGGCTAGACTAGTGGGGGGTCCTTGCAGTAGACAACGATCAGTAGACAACGATCAACAACCTCTTCTTGTATTAGTGGTCAGCTCATTTAATCAAGCACCTTTAAAACATCAAGTCACGCAAGCACGCAGTAACCTTGTCCTGCCAAAGTATTCGTCCATCATCGCTAGTTCTAGATTCATCACTTCCAGTGGCGCCGTTTCCTGCTATTCCTACCCACTCAACATAATAAAACAAGTATAATATTACCAAGTATCAATGACGCTTGCTCTATGCAACCACTTAGTCATTTTTTAGCTCTATGATTCCGTGCAGTGTATGCAATGCACAGCTACCTATCGCCCTGTTTGTGCAAGTTGCCACCATGATACTGCTGCAGAGGGCATTGTAAAGAAGACTTTACGGTCTACTATGAATAGCAGAGTGCCATCATGATATACAAGAGAACCGTCTGCTTTTGCCGCTGATGGCCGGTTCTTTTCGTCCAAATAGTTTCGATCTTGAGATCTAAGACTTGCTACTTGGACGCCTGTTCGAATGCATTCGTTAGCCACTTGCCGCTTAGCGTCGTTCGTCTCCGTTCGATTGTGCCGGTTAGTTTTAGCGGGCGCTTGCCTCAGCGCTGAGACCGTCGTTGTGCTGGCTTCGTCGAATTACCGCCTCAAGCGGTCACCGCGCTCGTCTCTGATCTTTCCCCATACGTGAACCCGCCAAGCTGCCGCCATCGTCGCCACCATGGGGTAGGTGTGTGTGAGCAAGCGAGTGGTGCCCGATGGCGGATGTCCTGCCCTCTCCTTTGCCATCTCCTCGGCCGGTTTTCTGGTGCGCGGCCTACTAGTTCCATAAGCAGCCGTGGGGCGGCGCTGCGACCAGACTATACTTCAATGGAGTTTCTTTTAGTTGAAGCTCTGGCGGCGAAAGTTTCGGATGCTCGGTGTGCAAAGTTGACGGCGGCTGCCGGATTCAAATTTAGTTGACGCGCGGGGCCGGCAAGCCACGTGGTTTCATGAAACGGTGTCTTGAAAGTGCTAATTAAGGCATGCAGCGTTGGACGTCGCTTGGCAGTCATGCGACAATTCACACTTGGTTGATTATGGTTGTTCTTAACAAGATACAACTTGTCGTCATAACAGGTTCAGAGTGCGCAGTGTATGTAAACATCTCTTGATCTTAGCTGTTACCCGCGCACGCTACATAATTTCGCTTACGTGGAATAAAATATAGAACAACGCCAGAGTGTCGAAGTGGACAACGGAGAAACCTTAACGCGGTGCATGACGGGCAGAGCAATGGCGACCTAATGAACTAGGCAGACGATCAAGGTGTACTTTTGTAGTGACTACATTTAGAAGTTAATTAATTTCAGAGAACAGTTGGAGTACTGTTATCGTATTGTAGTAATTCGTTGACAGTGCCGATTGGCTACCGTTGTTTGGTGAAAGTAGGAGAAAAACGAAATTTCCAAAAATACTCGATCATTTTTACTCCGGGAAAATGACTTCATTAGTAGTAAGAAATGCGTTTGCAGCGACAGTGCACACAAGACGGCCAACAGATCGACCTGTATCATGGGCACGTAGCTAATTAGTAGCTAACACCAGCCAGCCCCGAAAACAGTTCGGCGGCTGCGGCGGTGTAGAACTGCAACTGCAGCAGCCTTCGGGGGCAAAACGACGCTGACCCTTGAGGGGCGCGCTGGTTTCACGATGTGCATCGCGCCCCGTTCGTTTCTTGCCGCTTCCGTAGTTGGTTGCCCTGGTTTACCTTGCTCAGCTGACAGTCAAAGGCCGTTCTTTAGGTGGTTAGAACAGGAGGCGAACGCCAGCCGAAGTCAGCTGGCTGACGCAGTCGTCCGCTCAGTAGCGGCCGCTGGTGCACCCCCATTGCGGCGTAAGGAGCCCCAACAACAGCAAAAGGGTGCAGCGGGCGGAAGACGCTGTCGGCAGCATACGGCAGTGGCAACAAGAAACGCTGCCACAGTTAATATTAGGAAAATTGGCATCAACGACAACAATAATAATATCCGAAGCAATACCATTACTTTACACATCGAGAACATAGTTACTGCTAAAGTTTGCAATACGTCGTTTGTTCGATCCTCACAGGATCTGTGTGCTGTTGGTGAGAAGGCCGTTGAAGCATTAAAGCAAGTGTCGAATAGCGATTCTTCAGGTGACTGGGTCTGTTCGAGGAGACGAGGGCCTGACGACGGCGACGCGCGGCTGATCGCCGCCAACCCTCGGCATGGGGCCGAGCGGGGCCGTAGGTGTGTTCGGACAACGACTCAACTTTCTGCTGATGCTGTCGCTGCGTCTTATTCACGAAAAAGTCGCCCAGAACGACAACAGCTACAGCAGCAGCAGCAGCGGCGGCGGCAGCGTAAACAGGAACACCAAAGAACAAATCACCAAGAGGAGAACACCTCCATCAAAACTTCTATTGCAACAATGCACGTGGCGGCAGCAAGGACGGCTGTGGACTCGCCCGCCATTGCTGTTCCCGCATCCACCGCTTTTAGTGAAGCCAGAAATAAAATCGTTATTACCAAACTTAAGTTCACCAGCAGACAGCAAAAAGTGGACCTTGCCAATGAACAAAACTCACAGCAACATTCAAAAAAACTACAAATGCTACAAATACAAATGCTATGCCAAGTGTCGTTGGCAATCAATATCTTTGTTGTTAGTGTTGTGCGTTACCGTTGTCAACATTCCATATACAATAGCTCAAATAAGGTAAGCCGACGATTCTCTGAACTGGTGCTCAGGTACATTCTAACTTCGGGTTGACAAATATTTTGGGTTTAATTGCTATACTGCAAAGATACACTTGTAAAGTTCTAGAAATGGAAAAAGAGTTACACAATGCCCAACACCTGTCAGTTCCAACAATACATAATATCCGAAATGATGAGAGATGTATCTATATGTGCTGTGTGATTGAGAAGTCAAACAAATATGACTTTATTTAGGAAATTGGACCAAAGAAAAAATACATAACGAATAAAATGTTTTCCATGTACTATGCAGCTGCCTATAACTTGCGGCTCTGAATCTAATATATATAATCTATATATCTATATATCTAATATATATAATCTGAATATAATGCGGATTAGAATTATTAAGAATGAGTGACGTGCCACACAATAGAGGGTTATCTATATTAAAACCTGCTAGGCATGTAGAACATGCCTATCAGCATATCTACGAAGTCTGCATCACCATCACCTCTAGGCTAGGATACAGTGTATACGCATGTGCTCCGGTAACGGAAACTCAAGCCTGTCAGCAAAGAAACTAGCCAGGAAAGAAGACTTACAGGAGTCTATCTTCCAGGCAGATTCTTCTAAGTTTTTACTGTAGAACTTATCATTTGTTGCTATCAAAGTATGGAGCCTGCGTACGTTAAACGCTCCAAGAGTGACCATCGCTCGCGTCGTAGTTGGCTTAGCCGCCTCCAAAAGCAGCGGCTTGCAAGACTTCCTGTCCGTGTCCTGTTCACGTCGCTCGTTCGCTGATTCTATCATGACTTTCTCATGTGTTAGCTTGTTATCTATGCAAATGCCTACTTGAGATCTACCCTGTCAACGATAGTGCGAATGGCTTATGTACAAGTGTATTAGGAAAATATTTCTGTGTATCGTTGGATGGCTAATGTGTCGGTGGGACCCGATGTTGTTCTAGCTAGCAGCGTTCTCTCTATTTACCATGATAGCGACTTATCTCATTAACTGTTGAATCTACCCATGGTCTGTCCGCGGTGGTGATGAGGGTCTCATCCCACCGCGGTGGCCGATGATTAAACCGCAGGTCTGTAGTTCCTTTTATAGTATTCGGCCATCGTCCTGACCAACAAATTTGCTTTATTTCAAAAAGGGCTGGGAAAGATCGAAAAACCATACTCTGCCCGTATTAGGTCAGCTTATTGTCACTGAAATGTATATATATCAAACGATATTGGTCGAGCATGCGTGTAGAGTTATCTTTTGTCGTTCTTAACAAAGCTATTCCGTCTACGACAAAACGCATATTGACTGAAGAGAACTCTAGCAACGCAAAGAACCTGTGGCCCTGGGTCGTCAATCTTCTACTTTTTTTCATTAGAGAAATAATGACAAAAAATAATACACATAGCATATGCGACCATATAGCAATACATATGCCAGTGCACTCGGTATGTACGAAGATGTAGCTCAATGCAACCGCTACATAGCTATCTGATATCCTCTCGGTAGGATAGTACCGACGGGCTACTGGTAATGCCACCACCGTTTCTAAGCAGAGTACTTTTAGCGCAATCACCACGCTGAAGCACACATTCAGATATACACTTAGTAAACGCTATCACACAGTATGTACTACTTGTCGTATTATAACTATTGCAATGGTTACTGGAACTACTCTTACCAACAGACGATAGACGACAGTGAGTGGCCACTGGTCGTGCGGGCTAGAGTAACCATTGTGGGAGGCCAGACAGGCGACCGTCGAGAACCTCCGGAGAACATGATACAACGACAGGATGTAACTATCGGGTACACGCATTGAGAAAGCTACATAGAAAAAGACCTAGAGCACGCGCGGAACCCGACGAAGTGGCCAACCACGTCGGCGGGTCATGGCAACCGGGTGGCCAGCATATTTGCAACACTCACCACTGCCAGAAAAACCGACGGGGAAATAAAAGGAAGAGACAATGAAAGAAGCAAGCACTTCGCTATTCTATATGACTGACTAGCACTAGTGGCCCTCTACGTGTTTAATGATGCCGATTTGTTGACACTTCGGCAGCCACGGTACACCAATTTCTTCCTAAGCGCAATTCGTTGCAACCCGATTAAATCATAATTTAAGGAGGAAAAACGGAGCTGAATTCCCCCGTTATTGAATGAAAGAAAACGTTTTAATAGTTGTGCGTTCTTTCTATCATAAACAACGTAAGTGATTGCAATAAGTGCACTTTGAACGTTCGGAGAGGTAGCCTATTAGTCGCAACGAATGAATGGCTCAAAAGTCAAGGTCAATCTCTCCAGACTCTCCGAGTCAGTTCCTGGATTCCCCTTGTTAGTCTTCAAACTCTCCTGGTCAGTCTTTAGACCATCCTAGTCAGCACCCGGACCCTCCTTGTCAATCCCCAGACTATTTTAGTCAGTCTCTGAACTCTTCTAGTAAGTTTCCGGACTTGACTGAATAAAGCACTTTTTGCCAATGGGACTATTGGATGGCGACAGTCATTCAATCGTTAAGGGTTACAATTTTTTCAGAAATGTCACTTTTCCAAGTTTGGAAGTACCACTTGGAAGTAAATGATTTCGTTATGAGCGCTGGTTTGACTGCGAAAACGAAAACCAGAAACGTACATAGAAAACTTTGCCCCTTAACTTTTTCACATCCAACAAATGCCAGACACGTAAAAGAAATTGCTAATAGGAGATTTAAGATTACAAGCACTGTATTCATCATGTCTGTTTTTTTTTTTCTATAATCAAAATAGGATTACTAAATTGCAGCCGACGAACTAAAGATGGTTAAAAATTTTTCTTAGTCATTGAGTTATCTATCAATCATTTTTTCTTATTTATTCTAAAAGCGAAATACGTTCAACAACAGCAAAAATCAGGATCTGTTAAAGAGTTTTTGAGTATGTTTATATGAAATGTTATTAAAATGTCTTGTCAACTGCTGAATAAAACTTAATTTTCATTCTGCTAAACACGGAATTAAGCAAACTCAATTCGTCTTTATTTAAAAAATTATGCATTTTTAAAGATCATTCATTTTTAGAAATATCCTTTCATCCTAACGCCGTCTACGAAAGTGCTATTTCACAATGTAACTTATATGGTGTCCGTACAGCACAGGATCCTGGGAACAGAGCGACTCATATTGAGTTAGTTATCGGCGAAGTTACAATCAATCGTAGTTTTGTGATAATAGGTTTGCAAAGGACAAGTCATATCTGAGAATGTGCAGCTCGAACTAGATTTGCCGTAGGATTTTTAAAGCCCCGATCGTAAAAACAGAGGTTACTTTCCGTGTCTTGAGTGCAGGTATATGTCAGTGTTGGGCTTCTCGGATGAATGCATCATTAAGTGCTTGTTAGACAAAGTCCTTAGTTTAGGTTTTTAGTATTAGACACATGTACTAGGCATAAAGCTCTTAAGTATATGCAGTATCTTCCTAGTTTTCCATGCATATCCAGCGCTTATAGTGACGTTTCGTTAGACTGGAGTAAAGCAGACTCATCAAAGAGCGGTAAATAAAGGACACTTCTTTGTTCACACGACTGTGCTTTAAAACAGAAAGCTACAAATAGATCAATATTCTAAAGAATATGTATTTGTTTAATTATTATACTATTCGCTGGTTGAGTCTTTTCGATGTAGCCCTATTTTACAGATGTTGCCTCAAATAGGGAATTCCTCTAGCCGTTAAATAATAATGTTCTTTATCTGTAAGAAGTAACAATAAATTTTTGACTCTATAGATTTTATTGAATACAAGGTTTACGTTGGGTAACAAAGATGACTCGAAAAGATCTAACTGATATAGGCTCTTATTTTACTAGGGCCATAGACCATTGTACTTGATGATACCGAATGCTTTCACCCAGCGATATAAAGGAGCTTATTTGACCTGAGCCGTGTATCTAAAGCCGAATTATAGTAACTTAAGTTATACGTGGGTCTTTTTACTGAACTCAGACCTGTCGTTGCGATCTTCTGTCAAAATCGGTTTTTTTTTTTTAAAGACTAATCTTATCTATAATCACTTATTAAGGCTATAGTTCTAACCGACTGCATCGTGCTTTGCCTTTATGCTATCACTACTGCTACCTCTGCTACTACAGTCACCACTATTCACCACTATTTTCACTGTTCGCCCAGTCGTTCGTCAGCTGCCGCAAATCACATGACAAATATAAAGCCAAAAAAAAACAGTCTTCGACCTGCAATCATTTGCTCCATTGAAAAAAATGACAACCCACGCGCCCAACTCTGCATTCATACGTTATCACGCGTAAAACCTAGACCCATTTACTCCTTGTGTATCGACCCTAGACTTACCGTGGTCGTCAAAAGGACCGGCATAGAGCAGGTGGCGGCTATATTCTTTTACACTTTGTTTTCGCGTCTTGCGTCCTCACGTTTCGTTGCTGCTCACTGTCAAAGCATGGTGATACAGTAGACGTGTCCGCCGTAGGAGATTAAGGTAGATGGCTAGTAGAGAGAATTAGCTCGCTCGCTAATTGCAGCGTACGTCCGCATCGACTAACACATTGCTGCAACGATTGTGGGTAGTTATCATTGTATAGAACGGGCACTAGATAGAAGTCTTTGCCTGCCGTGCGTGTATCCCCGTACCCCTCCTTGGCTAAGGCGAACCAGCAGCAACTCGCGCACAGTTGTCTGGAAATGTTGAAAACTTTAAGGTAGTAAGTGCGTTTGCCTACTTGGCTTGTTGTAATCACTTGCTTGGCCTATTCAGAAACACAGATACCTTTTTCGTAATGCACATATCCCTATCTCTATATCACGTACTAACCCTATTTTGGACCTAGGTCTTCTCAAAGAACTTTGATTCTTGACGAAAATACAAGTTTCTTCAGATTTTATTACCCTCGCAAGTACGCTATTTTTATAAAAAAAAAAAAAAAACTTGTAGCCAAACAAAAAGTGTACGTTATTCCGACTACAACAAACAGTGTGCTCAGAATAGCGCAATCAATTAAG